ATACATACATACATACATACATACATATAAAGATGCAGTGGTTAAATGTTCAGCTGCTAACCAAAAAGTCAGCAGTTCAAACTCATCAGCTACTCAGTGGGAGAAAGCTGTGCAGTCTACTTCCATAAACATTTATTGTCTTTGAAATCCTATGGGGTACTTCTACTCTGTCCTATAGGATAGCTATGAGTTGGAATTAACTTGGTGGAAATGGAGTTTTTTATATATACATGGGGGGGTGGAGATCTGAAAATAAATTCCAGTATCTACAAACCCATTTTTTTGTACACTGTGTTTTACAGCTGGCATTGAGAGCCTTTGCTTTTTCAACACTACCTTCTCTCAGCCCCAGCTTTGAGAGGACTTATTTCCATGCACATCAACAGTACCACTCCTGGTAATTTAGAAATATGAACTAAGGCTCTAGAGTAAACAATGTGCCTTTTGGTATTCAACACTGTTCCTACTGAAAAGGAACATCATTTTCCTCTCTTTCCTGGAAATAGCATTACTAATAAACATGATTAGGGCATTTCTGTCATGTAGTCAATCTTACTGAATATATAAGTACCTTTGTTCAACCATTAAAAACACACACACACACACACACACACCAAAGTAAAAAGAGATCAACAGTGATTTCAAACAGCACTGGTATACAGTAAATGGATTATAACTAACACATACTATATGCTAATTTTTGCAACAGGAAAAAAAAAGCCTGTATAAAATTTGCACCTGTTAATTACATTTTCTAAAACTTACTGATAACTGCTATTTTAATTCCACAGGAGAGTCAGGAGTCAGGCTAATGAAAAATACAAAATAGCATGCAGGTATAATGGCATCCATTGAAATGACAAGTTAGAGATCAGGCAAAAAAGGAGGGGAAAAAAAGAAAGAAATCTACATTTTTCTAAAATAGTTTATGATAGCATAATTATTTATATAAAGAAAAACAGTCAAAACAATTAAGATATTTTCACAGCAATTTCTAAAATGGATTCCATGTAGAGCTTTTATCATTCATTTTAATCAGTTAAAATTAAAATTACTAAATTTAAACAACAACAACAACAAACTAACCAGGAAGGTAAGCAGGGCACTATGTTGAAAATTTTCATTATCTTTGGAGAGATTCTGGTGACATATTTTGACAACTTGAAGTATGTTACAAGGCACTACACATAGAATAATAAAGTGCTGTTTAAAAGATCTGCATACAGATTTAAGTCGATTGCCATTCTAAACATGTACAACACTGGTGACTAAAACATAACATTTAGAGTAAAGAGCTTACCTGTGGAGCTGAAAGCCAACCATATCTTTCCTCCAATTTATTCATATCCCTGTCAAAGTTATTTAGGAACTTATAGCGGAGAAGGTCATCATCAGCTAAATGAAACTGCCTTCTGGCATAATGGTAACTCTCATTGTTTCCTTTTCTTGGGAAGTCTAACCATTCTGGATGCCCAAATTCATTACCTGCATTTTAAAACAGAAAGAAAGAAAAAAGAGTAGGTGGAGAGAAAAGATAACTTAGCATTTCTTACTAAGATAATTCAATAAGCATGTTTCTAAAGTTGTAACATTTTAAAGATGAGTTTAGCTTATAATTTATTAAAGTTATGCCCTTTATGTGAGGTACACACGTAGACTCCTGGTTCAGAAATATCCTAGTCTGGCTCCACAGTTGGACTCAGAAGACAGAGTCCAGTTTGGGCTGGGTCACTCAGTACTTTTTGCATGTCTCAGTTTAGTAAAGCACAAAATGAGTATTTGTCCAACTTATGTCGTCTTGGAAACAGTCTCTGAAATTGCTGAGTAACTTCTGAAATCACAGTTTCTAAAATTTCTATAGTGGTTTACAATTTGGGCAGGTTATATATATATATATACATACATATATATATATATATTTAATGTGTGTAAATCCCAAAACAATGCTCTGTTTTATCTATTTCACAGATGAAAAATCTGGACAATTAAGGGATTTGCCCAAATTCACACACATAATGAGTGGAAAAATGATCATTAAAATTTAGTCTGATTAAACAACAAGGTTCCTTCCACCCCACCATGTTAGGCAGGTGCTATAGAAACTCAAGTCATCATTTTTATTATCCCTTTTTCCTTATTCTTTCTCAGATCTATTTGTTACCACTACTTGGTCATCTTTAAATTCAAGTATGTGTGTGCGTGTATGTGTATACAGCTGGGATGCTTGGTGGGAAATTCACTAAATACTGTTTCTCAGTATAATAATGAGACTAAACTTATAAAATAAAGCAGTAACAAATACAGACATTCTTCCTTCTTGTGAATAAAATTTAGAAATTAGTTGTCTTATAGATAATTTCATATTATTTTTCCCAAGTTAAGATTTATACATTTAGGCTTATTTGTCCCTCTGAAAAATGAAACACTACTTTCCAAAACCACCTTTCATTTACTACTTCAACAGTTCAGTTTGCTGTCCCATACATTTCTTTAGTGAGTGTATAAAGTGCCATAACAAATCCAAGTGTGTCTTTCTTTAATAGAAACTAGTACATTAATATTCTAATAAGTTACAACTAATAAGCTAGCTAGGATTTAATTCAAAATGACTTGTAATAGAGTTGCTTTAAATAGCAGATTGTGGTTAAAAAAAAATAAAAAAAAAAATAACTGCAATTTACATTTAACTTTTAGGACTATAATTGTTAACACACACACACACACACACACACACATCCAAATACGTCTGTAGCTGATTCAGAAAATTCAAAGTGTCTGTAAGCGTTTTGCTAAGTTCTAATATTTCAGTCAAAATGATGATATTTCTTGTCATGTTGTCATGTTACACAAAGTGTGGCGTGGCAGTGAGGAAGGAAGGAAAAATTTTACTGTGGGCCTACATTTACTTGAAGATGTCTTAAAGTGACAACACAAGTAACTTCCCTCCATTCACCTATGAGTCATGCCTAGCTCTGCAGCCTAGGTCGTATTAGCTCAAGGTGCAGTCTTGGAAAAGCTTGCTCAAAAATCCATTCAAATGTCAAACTGATGTACTTTGAGCATTATAGATGGAGCATATTCTTTACTGATTGTAAAGGTACTGCTAGTCTCAGGAAAAATGTATTTCTAAGTATTACTGGGATTTCAAATAGTGGGGAACTTGGGAGAGACTAGAAATGTCATGAGGTAGCTAAACAAACTGGATCCAGCCTAAGCTTTGAACAGGGAAAACACTTCTTATTTTGGCTATGGTCATGGTTCCCAGGCTGACTGTAGTATCTATAAGGAATTTCTTTAATTCTCTTTCAGAAAAGACATCATTATCATCATGTCCATCATAAAAGAGACATCAGCTTATACTTAATATCTGCTTATTAAGTCCCAGGTACTATTACTAGCATTATACATGAATTAATTATTTCAATCTTCACTACCCTATGAGGTAGGCTATATATTCATTTGCAATTTTGTAAGTAAGGAAACTGAGAAAAAGTGCTGTCACACCGTCATTAAATAGCAGTATCTATGAAACCACACAGTCTGGTTTCAAAGCCCAGACTCTTAATATTGCATTATACTGCTCAGTAGTATACTATGGAAATACAGAGTAATGATTGACTCATTTCTCATAGATGGGCAGAGTTTCAAGTAAAATGCGTGAATATATTGGTATGAAAAGGTGAGATGTCATGAATAGTTTGGTTTAGCCTTAAATGGGTTTGTGGTGAAGAAATATGGTGGGACAGGCAGGATGAGTTTATAGAGGGGTTTTGTATGTCATTTTAAGTACTTTGAAAGCAAAGAAAGCTAAGAAGAGTTCAAGAAGGGTGGTTAGTTGAGTCAAATGCAGCCAATAGGGTGCAAATGTGTGTTTTTTTTTTTTTTTTTTAAGAGGGGGAATGACAAGTTCAAATGTGCTTACTATTACAGTATCTTTGGTACAGTGTGCCAAACAAACTGGATATTGTGGAAATTCAATGGGAGAAATATTGGTATGGACTCCAGAGTATAAGGTAAGAGATGATAGACACAATTGGGATGCAAAAGAGAAAAACTGACTCAAGTGGCATTTTTAAGATGGAAATAACAAGACTGATGATTGATGATTGAATGGAGGCAACAAGGAAAAGGAAAGTCTGAAAGAAATTTTGAAGTTTCAAGCTCAGGACTGAGTAGTGACAGCCTGAAATGCACTAGGGGAAAATGGTGACAGAGGAAGTTTGGGGAGAGAAGATAATGAGTTCATTTTTAGGTATGTTAAATTTAAAATTGGAAGCATGTGTAGGGATCTGAAATGGGTAGAAATATGGTACTGAAAGTCAGAAGAAACTTAGGGATGGGGAGCCAGAGTAATGTGGAAGACCTCGGTGACCAATGGTAGTTGGAGCTACAGAATGAACTATTAAAGAAGACAGAGGAGCAATGGTTAGCAGGGTGAGAGGAACATAAAAACAAAGTATAGAAGGGTAGGACTTCAAGAGGGATGGCAAATTGAGTCAAATAATTAAAAACAAAATAAGAATGTACTATACCATTGTTGCTTCGGAGTAGAATAAGATGGTATAGAGCTGAGCGTCTCAAGTTATACTGTGCCCTGGAATCACCAGGGAAGCTTGTTAAAAAATACTCATCCCACAATGATTCTGATTAATCAAATCTAGACTGAGTCCCAGGAAGCGATCTACATTTTTATCAACTATGCTGTATTATTCTGAACATCAGTGAACTAAAGATCACACACTGAGAAACACTAGCAGATTTGAAGTTTCTTGAACCTATGTCTAAGTAAGGGCAGCTATAAATCCTGCACATTTCCAAGGCAGAGAGACTGGAGCTTGAATTCTGATTTGGGATTATGAGTTATGTGAATTTAGGCAATTAAATCTCTGTAGTGTTCAGTTTCCTTATCTGCAAAATCGTAAAATAAGTTTCATAAAGGTCTTAAAAGATTCAAATGAGGTATTTGGCAAGTGAGGTGCTTCACACATAGTCTAGCAGGTATACATTTTCAGTGTATGGCAGTTCTTGTGCTACAGTCTTTCACTTATTACTAAAGCTGTTCAGAAAAGAATGGCCTAGAGGGCAATAGAAGGGAGTTACCATAAAGCTACAATTTCTACCTCCCATCATGGTGAGGAAACAACCAGCAACCCCTACTCTGCAGCAGACATACAAGTAACCAGGATAAATTAAAAGGGCAACTATTTGGCTGTTCTTCACTTAGATTTTCATGTATGGCTGTATTATTTTCTTTAAAGTGTGGAAATTCTATATTGAATACATATTCATATTTTAAAATGACAAACACATTTTACAAAACCAAGTATTAATGTACTTTGAATTATATACTACTATAGATCTCAAAAACTGAGTTTAATGTCAAAATTAGACATCCAGATTGATAGGGTAAATCAAGTTTTATGCTAGAAGCTTCTCTTAACCCTTTTCATTATTCCTCTATATTCAACCTGCAAGCCCACTGAACAAGCTCTCAAGGATTATCTATAGTATAACTGTGGCTTGATTTATTCTATTTAAAATTAACATTTTAGATGCCTTTCTAAAATTAAATTACTGATTGGCCTGGAACACCACTGGCACTTGAGGACCTCCTCATTTTGTAATTTCTTAGTCTTTTTGGAAATGTGACCCCTTGGCACAACTCCATTGCTTCCCAACTTGCAAATTGCCACAGGTAGACTAATTAGGTGAAAATATAATAAAATTTTCTCCTCTGTAGAGTTTAGCTTGCTCACAATTTTCATCAGTATAAAATTGAGAACTGAATAGTGAGTTAAGACTAAAACTTAATCTGATTAAAAGTTGAGTACTCATTCCTCAGAAACATACACTGCATGCACACACACACACACACACACACAGAGGAAAAAGTGTCGAAGTCATAGACACCATTGAAAAACCTCCTCACATGCAAATACATTATCATCTATTTCTAATATTGTAACATGGACTTTCACAGACTAAATATATAACATAAATATGGACTTCTTAGTAACACACTTAAAGTTAAATGCAGTAAGACAATCCAAATTATTTAGAAGAGTATAAAAACACAGTGTATGCTCAATAAATATTAGTTACTATTTTTTTTGTTTTAATTGTATAACATACTCATATACATATAAAAAACAATTAAATACATACATATAGAATGAAATCTAACCAAATAACCATTGTTTTCCTTTCAGTAAATATTCTTTCAGAATTTTAGTTAGATATATTTTTTATTTATAGCTGTATTTCTGCATCTATATCAAATATTATATCTGTATCTACTATATATCACTTTTTTAAACAAAAATAGATTCTTTATACATATTTAATTAGACAAAATTTTATATAATCATTTTCTATGCCAAAAAAATACATATCTCCATGATAGCATTCCATTATGTGCATTTAATATAATTTTATTTAATAAGTTATCTAATGTTAGTCATTTTGGCTTTTTCCAATATTTCGGT